AATACTAATACTAATACTAATACTAATACTAATACTATACAAATACTAATATTAATGCTAATACTATCACCATTAGGATTTACCTGGGCCCCCGGGCCACCCTCAAACAATTCTTGATTCAGGGTCCTAAAATTGTTTGGGGGGGAGGGGGGGGGCCCTCCATACTAAACAGGGTCCAACATTAGCGTTGAAACCAACTCAAATCCGGAAGTCTTGTCTCTGGCATCAACTGAGAAGGCTCAAAGACCTCATTTCGCCTCTGGATTGTGAGAACTCATGAGACAAGAAAAACTTTTTCGGCAGGCACAACTTGTCTCATCACATCTTGTCCCCCGAAAAACTGCTAAGACACACAGCCTTCAAAACCGCAAACTTTGCCTTCTCCGGCGAAGAGAGCCGCAACTCAGCCAAGTCGTCTTCAAGACTCAACCTCCACCAGCTTGGAAGTTGGCATCTTACAGCCCGCCCGCTAACATGAACTATCCAACTGTCCCCTCGCGATGACTGCCGTGACAAGAGCAAAGGCTCAAAATCAGCGGCGGGACTCCCCTAGACCCTGCTGGTAAGCAACAAATTAAATTGCCCAGCAGCCACGGTTTCAGGTTCAGACTTATGTTAGCATTTCAGAAGTCTTGTTCCCTCTGTATTCTGACACATGCAAATGCTATGATGAGCGTCTCAGGCGCTGCTTTTGCATCCATTCTAGACCTGTTGCAGACACCATCTGTGTGTTTAAGACCATCACGTTAATTCAGACTTCTCAGTTCTCGGTGCTGGCCACCAGTCGATCAAACACCAGTTCTGCTCTTCAATCCTGGTCGTCTACCCTGCGGTGACCTCCGTTCTGAACGCAAGACGCGCAACAAAAATCGTGACAATATCTTACGCGGTCAAAACGACTGACAATGTAGTATGTCAAGTACTCTGCAATCTTGACACTCAAGAATGCCAACGGCGGTTTATGAAGCTGGGCCCATAAAGTAATCAAGCCCCGAAACCCTGAAGAGTGGCCACTGCACTGTAGGGGTCTGAAAGGATGAATGGAGGCACGCCTTTGGGGATCAACATGCGTTGACTACAATAAGACAAATAAGACCTAGGGGCCACTATTCATTCCTCACCGATGCTTCAGTCTGACCCTCGTCCAAGTACCCCTTCCGCTTTCCCTGCTTTTTTCTTCAGATCGCAAACAGGCGACTATGAAGGAAAACTGAAAGCTGCGCCACTCAGAAGCACATAACCACCTCAGCTGATTTGCCTAAACCGTTTGCCGCACTACCTAAACTGCAACCAGAGGAGCTATGTTAGGGTGCCCTGTTTTGGGGGAGGGGATTCCTGCCGGAGCGATATGGCATGTGCAAGGCCATGTAAGGCTTTTTGCTTGAAATCTGCTCACATTCAGGTTCTGAACCTTAGGCCGGGCATTCAGCATCTGCGTGAGGTTATCGCAGTCATCGCTCCAAGTTCTCAACAGGGATTTGTAGAGTAAACTTGCCAACTCTTCCACCCACTTAATCTTCAAGGAAGATGAAAGATTCGAATCATCTCCACCCTCTTTCGAAGATCTGTCTTCCCTTCCAAAGCCGTGGCCCCGCGCATCCCAACAAGAACCCTGTCAGCTCCTTGCAAGCAGTGCTCCTCAGGCAGGCCTTTCAGTTCGTCAAGGACCCGAGAGATCTGCTCAACCTGGGTTTGGGGTTTCCTTCTGATAGGCTCGGTTCACTTAGTGGCGCGGGGACAGCTCGTTGGGCAATCAAAGATATCTGCGACAGGTCAACAGCCAGAGCTGCAAGGCACTAGTTCCGTGACATAAGCTGTCGCCATGAATCAAACCTAAGCTTTCTGAACCACGGAATTCAATTTCCAAACCCTGCAAGGTCCCACACCTGTGGAACAAGAAACCTACAGAATCCAAGGAACCCAAGAGAGCCCAAGAAGGCTCAAACCCCAAACTCTTCAACCCAACACCCCACAAATCTGGCCCTCAAAGCCTGAACGCCGCGTGCAAATCCAGAAGCACACCAAACTTGCTGCCGAATGCGGACCTGGGTCAACCAAGGCATGGAGGGCCAAATGTTCTTAAGACTGTGATCCTTTGCCCGGAATTGAGGAATGTCTGTTACATGTAAATGCCCTAGTGTGACCAAGGCATCTGCAATGCTTGTTTGAAGGTTTGGCGGCGGAGGAGGCGTAACTTTGTCCACCGTGGGGAACCTTCATGCTCTGAGTAGCTGTGTTCTCTCCGTAGCTCTGCTATGAGAGATGAAGAAAGTGGGGTTGTATAAAAACCCCG